TTAAGATGAGCCTTCGATGGATCGTATAGTGGAATATTATTAGTTTGCAAGTTTATAGGAACTCAGATAATATTAGGACAGTGGCATAGCAATAAGAGAAAATATGAAGCATTTAATTGATAGCAACTCAGTTTAGGTATTGAGGTAACAGATAATATCTGTGAAAGTTTAGCTGTCAACATAGTCAGAAGTCTGAGTAAGAGTAAACAATATATTATATATTATAATTATTATATATAATATATATAACATATTATATATATTATATACATATATATGTATATATATTATATACAGTTATATATTATTTTTTTAAAAATGACAGAGTCCACTAGCCAACAGTTCCCATGGTCTCCATAGTCTCTTGGGCAAAGTCAGTTTGACTTCCAAGCACGGGAGACGCAGGGCTTTTAGCTGTGGAATGGATATGTGTGACATGAGAAATGACTAACTTTGGTTTGACTTAGCTAAGTCATTTGACTCAGAGCATCCAGTATATCCCACTGCATTTGTTAGTGACTATATCATCACATACAATCCAGGCTGTATCTTCTAGGTGTCTGGTGTCCAAATCTTCTGAAATTATCTTGGGTTAGAGGCTTTAGGAATTCTGTAGGTCATAAGCTTAAAAATACTATCAGCAGACTTCTGACAAGATTGAGAACCATAAGGATTGGTTGTAATTGAATAGAATAATAGCAGTAGTAAAAATCTATTAAGACAGAGCCTTTCTTATCCTGTCTTAAGTAACTTTGGTGGGTTGTGTAGGTAGAGAAAAGCACATTTTTTGTATTAGCAAAGAAACATTTGGCTAGGACCAGAATAAGAAAGCTGGATCGAATAAGAATAAGAAAGCTGGGCTTGCAGGGAATTGGGTGGCAGCATCACCAGGGCAGGACTTCCTGCTAGCTCTGGAAGTCGCCACCCATTGTCTCTGGTGGCTAGAGTTTGGAGTGGGCAAGGAAAAGCAAGCATGTCCCATATCACAGCAATGTTCAAGTTAGTTGTTTTTGTAGTGGAAGGCACCGCTAACACTCACTTGACAGGTCCCAGGGAGAGAGGGAGAGGGAATATTTAGGTGAAAGACCAGGAGTTAGGACTGGACATCCATACATGAGTTCAAAAGCTGAAATGAGGAGAGGTCGCTTGGGAAGGGCTCATAGCCTGAAAAGAGCCAGAGAGTTTTACCCAGTCAAGGTGAAGTTCCTGTGACAGCTTGACAAGAGTGGTTTTTAAAGAGTAGTTGGTTCTCTCTACCTTACCTGAAGATTGAGGATGATAGGGGATATGAAAATTCCAGGGGATGTCTAGGGCCTTAGATAGAGTCTGAGAAACCTGGGAAGTAAATTTGGGCCCATTGTCTGACTGGAGGGAGGCGGGGACACCAAAACGGGGGATGATCTCTCTGAGGAGGAGATCAGAGACTATCTGAGCTCTGTTGTTAGTTGTAGGAAAAGCCTCTATCCAGCCTGAGGTGTCCACCAAGACCAGGAGGTACTTGACACATTTTACAGCAGGCATGTGGGTAAAGTCAAGTTGCCAGTCAGTTCCTTGAAGGGAACCTCTAGCCTGATTGGTAGGAAAAGGGGGGCTATGATACCTTGAGTTGGGATCTGACATCTGACAGATTTTGCAAGAAGCAGTGATAGATTTTAGGAAACTTAAGTCCTCAGGAGTAGGCTGTAGGTGGGTCTTAATGAAATAAGACAGCGTTTGGCTGTTAGGATGAAAGAGTTGGTGAAGATAGGACAGAGTTTGATGAGTTTCAGGGGGTGTAAGTGGGGATGTGGGTTGTAGTGTAAGAGTCTCCTTGGCAGGGTGAGATGAGTCTAGGCCCCAATGGCCACAGCTCTAGCTGCCTCATCAGCTCTGTTGTTTCCCTTGAAGACTATAGAGTCATCCGTACAGTGGGATCTGCAGTGGACAATCCCAATAGCTGTGGGGAGATGGGAGGCCTTTAGCATGGCCATAATCTGGTTTGCATTAATTACTAATCCTTCTTTTGTGGTAAGTAACCCACGCTCCTTCCAGATAGCAGCATGGAACAGAAGGATATGGAAAGCATATTGGGAATTTGTGTAAAAGCTGAGAGATTGTCCCTGTGTCAGCTGGAAGTCACAGGTAAGGGCTATTAATTCAGCCTGTTGGTTGGTGGTATGAGCAGGAAGGGCCTGTGCCTCCACCACCTTGGTGTCTGACACTATGGCATAGCCAGCTTTCCTAACCCCTTCATGAAGAAAGGAGCTTCCATCTGTATACCAGGTAAAGGTGGCTTGAGACAATGTGCCCTCCTGTATGTGTGAAGGATGAGGTAATAGTTCTTCTAAGATTTCAGTACAGGAGTGAGATAAAGAGTAGTCAGTGTTAGGTCTGGGAAGAAGATTGGAAATATTAAGAGGTGGGCATGATTGAAAGGTGAGAGTGGAGTCTTCTATTAGAGCTACCTGAAGAGAAAGAACCTTGAGAGGATATAAAGTCTGTAAGCCTTTATAAGTTAGGAGCTGTGACAGGTTGTGAGAAGAGAGGAGAGTTATAGACGATCCCAGGGTTAGTTTCTTGATTCTGGAATAAGGAGTTCAGCAGCTGCTAAGGTACCAATGCAAGGTGCCCATCCCTGGATGGTTGGATCTAGTCTTTTTGACAAGTATGCTATGGGTGCAAAAGATGGTCCCAGTTGGTGACCTAAGGCTCCGAGGGCAAATCCCTCTTTTTCAGTTACGTAGAGGGAAAAAGAACAAGTCAGGTCCGGGAGATGTAAGGCTAGGGCCTTAAGGAGAGCCTGTTGGAGCCTTTGTAAGGGCTTAGTGACAGGTTTGAGAAGAGGTTCGTGGGTGAGGCGTAATGCTGCTTCATATAACGGATAAGAGAGTAGGGAACAGGAAGGAACCCAGGAACACAAAAAGCTAGTCATTCCTAGGGATGATAAAATCTCTTCCTTTGTAGAAGGAACAGTTAGAGACTGAATCAGATTCTTTCTATCTAAGGTAATAGCCTTGTGGTTTGGGGTAATTTCTAGTCCCAAATAGGTGACTTGAGGAGTGAACAGTTGGACTGTAGAAGATGAGACCCTGTAGCCCTGACTGGAAAGGAAATTTAGAAGAGCAGCTGTGTCAGCTTGGCTAATTTCTAGAGAGGGGCTACAGAGAAGAACATCATCTACGTAAAGTACAATCTTAGATCTAGGGAGAGATAAAGAGACTAAGTCAGAATCCAGAGCCTACCTGAAGAGATGTGGGCTGTCCTGGAATCCCTGAGGTAGAACAGTCCAGGTAAGTTGCGTAGAAAAGTGGGTGTCAGGATCTGTCCAGGTAAAGACAAATATGTCCTGTGACTGGGTGTCTAGAGGGATAGAGAAAAATGTATCTTTGAGATCTAGGACTGAAAAATGAGAAGTCCCTGAGGGGATATTAGAGAGAAGTATATAAGGGTTATCTACGACAGGATGGAGGCAGAGTTCGTGTGCCTGAGATCTTGAACCAGGTACCATTAGGTTTCTTAACTGCCAGTATAGGGGTGTTAAAAGGGGAAGAGGTAGGTTGAAGGAGATTTTTTCCTTAAGAGGTCAGCAATGATAGGCTTAAGTCCCCTGAAGCTCTGGAGAGAAAGAGGGTATTGGGCTTGGCAGATGTACCTGGTAGAGTCCAGTAACTGGACAAAAACGGGAGAATGATGTTTAGCAACAGAGGGGTTCTGGACGTCCCAAACTCAGGGGTCCATCTGGCAAGCTGGTAAGGGAAATAACATGTTAGTGTTAGTAGGGTGATTGGCTAAAAGGAGGAGCAGAGGAACTGCTGGCGGGCTTGGGCTTAAGTGAATTTGTGGAGTAAAGGAAATAGAAGCTCCCAACTTAACTAAAATATCTCTTCCTAATAAGGGGACAGGACATGTAGGCACTACCAAAAAGGAATGGGTGAGAGGCACACCCCTAAAAATTCAACTAAGTGGGGGAAGTAAAAGGCTTAAGGTGAGATAAGTGGACCCAATGAGGGAGTCCTTCAAGTTTAGCAGCAGTAGGGGTCACGAGGATTACCTTAAAAGGATCCTGCCATTTGGGAGAGAGAGGTGAGGGCTAATGATCTGGAGGGGAGAGAAGCACTTGATCTCCAATGTTGACAGTGGACAGGAGACAGTGTGTGGTCGAGATAGATGGTGGTCAGCAAAGTTCCACAAGAGAGAACGGAGGTGGCAAAGTAGTGGGGTGAGCAAATGGTCTGGGGGGGGGGAACAGGCAGAACACATGGAAAGAGTATAACAAAGGTAGATAAATGCTCAAGCATAGGGGATTTGTTTCCGTTTACCAGACTACTGGCAGTATGTGTTAAGACCTCTTAAAATAGTTGGGTCTAGTGTGCCATTAGGTGGCTACTTTAGTCCATTATCTAGAAGGTATTGAATCCAGACCTTATTGCAGAGGTGTATCAATTTGGAAGGCATCAAATCAGGTGTTAATTTTAGAGATTTGAGGTTTTTCAGTAGACAACCCAGTGGGGTGTCCGTGGGTACAGTCAAAGACTATGTGGTACCCATTGGATGACAGCTGTTACCAAGCTATCAGTCAGCATCCCGAAAGAAAAGCTGGCAACAAAAAATCAGCCTCAGGCTAGATAATCAGGTCATCACAAGAATATCTAGGGGCCTCTGTGGAGCTAGTCTGGCAGAAAATAGCTCACCTAGTACCAGGATTTCTGGCGGAGCTTCGAGAGCTGGGGAGGGGCTGGGAGCTATTTCTGAGAGGGAAATCACCCAATGGCCAATATCCTAGGTTGTACTTCAGCTAGAGGCCAGTCATATGGACTGGGGTAATGAAAAGCCAACCCCTTAGCCCAGGGAAGGTTGGCCAGACCCTAACTGGGCGTCCAGGGTTCCTCCCATCAATCAGATACTCCTTACCAATTAATAAGCTGGTATGTTTGTGGTTTTGTGCAGTCTGCTATCAGGAAAGTTGGAACCCTGAGGTCTGTGTAGACCTGTCTGGCTGCCTAGCCCATGTGGCAGAGCACCACATGGGGGCCACAGCAGCATAGCTCATGTGGTGGAAGTTTTGCAAGCCTCTCAGCAGTGGATGGGGTTGGTCTCCAGCAGTGGCAGGTAGCAGCAGATGAAGTCCACATGGTGTAGTGGTGGCAGCTGTGGTGGTGGAGTTGCGGCAGGCCACATTGCATCTGTCTTGTACAGTCACAGCAGCCTCACAGCAGCTGGCTACGGCTGCCAGCGGCCTTATGAGTCTCGGGATTCTTGAAGTCTTCATATCCCGGGTTTCAGAACCCGTGTTACACTTCGGCATGCAGCTTGGAACAGACTATACCACACCAAAGGGTTCCAAAGGGGAGGGGATATATTCAGGGCAGAGGGTAAAGGCAGGGAGAGAAACAGGAGAAGATGGTGGAGAAAGAGGAGAGAGAGAGGAGAGAAGTAGAGGCTGGCCATGACCACGTGGAGAGAGGGGGAAGGGAAGAGAGGAAGGGCAAGGAGAAGCTAGAGGCAAGAGAGTAAGAGAGTAAGAGAGAGAGGAGGAGGCAAGCAGCCCCTTTTATAGTGGGCACGCCTACCTGGCTGTTGCCAGGTAACTGTGGGAAGGAGCATACCTGGGTGTTGCCAGATATCTGTGGAGATGGAGTTTAGACAGAATACTAACATAAATTATTCATCATCCTGTATATGAGTTGGAACATTGGTAAGTAATAAAATTTTAATTGCTTTCTTAGTGATATTTGTAATTTGACCTTGGTCAAAAGTTGCAAGCATTTGCTTCAATATAGTGACATATATATATATATATATATATATATATATATATATGCAAAATATAGTGATGTATGCATATGTGTTATATATTATATAACAACCCATATATATTATAGATATTTAGAAAATATATATGTTAGTATACATGTATGACAGGCCTATTGCTGATTTTAGACCTATGGCTGATTTTAGGCCTTCAGTGGGTAAGTAGGGCTGCCCCTGACATCTCCTCCCTTCTCTAAGTATAGAAGGGCTGTGGCAATTCTAATCTTGTGAAGGCAGGATAGAGGCCTAACCTCCAGTATTTGAAGGGGACCTTGTAATGGCTCCAGTCCCCCTGTCGTTGTCCAGTGAGGCATGAGGGCCATACCTGTACTGATGTCTTTTTCCTAGAGAGGGGATACTTTTGACATCAACCTCTATGCAGTCAGGCTTGTCCCTCAAGGAACCCAGATAGATATTTTTATCTTTTATTATATTCCCTTGCAGTGCTTAGCCTCGCAGCCTAAGCAAGAATTCAGATCGCCTGACAGAGGGGGTTCAGGGTGGCCCCTCTCTGCTTGGTCTAGGGGTAGAAGTCCCCCCTTTTAGGTTGGGTGGAGATGGGTTTTAGAAACACCCTGTATAAAGTAACAACCTCATCTTGAGTCTCGTGGTCCTCCATAGCTAACTTATGATAATGTATCTGAGTAGGTTTTGCTACCAAATTATTTATCTGTTACATCACAGAGTTAGTCTGCCTATTTGAGAGCCAGGGACCAGCAGAAAAAAGCAAAAAGAACCCAAATAATGGTCCCAAGATGGGAGGAAATAAGGTTGACAACCTTGGAGAGGTTGAAAACCAATTCTTGTACCATCCTTCATCTGTCTCTTTCTCTGATTTTTCTTAGGGCCTTCACTACCTGTTTCATGCTCTCTTTAACTATCCTTTTCTTGTCTATGTAAAGGCAACCTTCTTCTTTAAGAGCTGTACACAGTCAAGAGATGTACACAGCCTTTTCTATTGTACTAGAGTAAATGAAGTCCAATAAGGATCTTTGCGATTTTAGGAGATCTCTTCAGACAGCGAAATGAGGGATTTCTTCAGATTAGTGATGTCAATCTCTATCTGTTTGATGTTCTTGTCAGTGGCCCTTCAAAGGTCTGAGTAGGGTAGGTTCGGAGGCCAGCATCTGGATTAGAACTTCTAACAGCAGACATCAGGCACTTCTAGTGTGCAGCTAAGGTTGAAAATTACTCATTAATGACACTTTAGATGCCTTAGAAATGTGGTTTGAATTGATTTGCATTTTATAGAGAGGAAGAAAACTCACTTTACTGTTGGCAGAATGCTTTTGTAGAGCCAATGTGACAAGCAGAATTGAAAAATCATACCCTTATCCTACAGAAAAGTGTTCCATTAGCATCAGAGGCATCTAAGTATCAAAACGGAAGTAAATGCTTACTTTTTAAAAATTGTATTTTAGGCCATTATCAACAAAACATGGTATCATTTCTGTAGATCAAGCTAGTACAGACTTCTTGATGTTGTCCAAGGCCGTAGTTCTATTATATCTTGATCACATGTCAGAACCATCTAGAAGGCTTTTACAATTCCAGGATCCTGACTGTCCCTCAGATTCCTTAGGTTGAAATCTCTAAGGGTTGGAAGCAAGCATCAGGATGTTTTGTACATCTCCCAAGGATACCTAAGCAACAACGCAGTCAACATTGGAGGTGTATCTCATTTAAACTCAAAGGCCACTGATCCCATGCTAATTAAGAACAGTCTAGCTATTATCAGTAACTGTATATTTCAAAGCTCTGATGACATAGAGCCTGTGTAATGAAATAGAAAACCATGCTCGCCTGTAGTTAGTAAAGACAGCAAGAGCACAGATGTGTGTGCTCGCACAACTCATTTGGTAAGGCATGGCAGAGAGGACTACACTGATTTCAAGGTTTGAGAAGCAATTTGGGGGAGATGTAAATAAGGGAGTGCTGAAATTAGAGGATGTACAGTCTACAAAAACAAAACAAAAATCAAAATTGAAAATAAAAAAGAAAATATATGTGACATAATGTTTTGATGGAACAGGACTTGCTTATTCCATTTGCAGTGAAGCATGACTCAAAAAAACTGCAGATGAGTGTTTCCCTCTTTCAAGAAAATCTATTTCTGGATCGAATATGAGCATAGGCTGTGATAAAATAGTTCCCCCATAAAGATGATAATCTACAACTTTGAAAATCATAAAGGGCTGAATATCAGATCACAATGTGTTTCAAACCATGACAGAGATGATGTCTAAGAGAACTTCCTTATTGCTGTGATTAAAAATCTTGATGCAAGTAATTTAAAGAAGGAACTACTTTAAGTTGGCTTACAGTGGGAGGGTATAATACATTTTACTGAGAAAACACAGTAGCAGGAATGTGATACATGAGGTCACATAGTATTCACAGAGTGAGGAAAAGAAAACAACGAATGTTTCTGCTTTCCTACATTTTACTCCAACTCTTAGAATGAGTCTGAAGGAAGGAAAGATCTGGGTGGAAGAGAGGATGGGAAGGGGATACTGGGTACAGTATCAAGTTTAGGGGGAGACAGGAAAGAGGTCCAGAGGACCAGGAGAATGGATAGAAATGTGCATCTGTCAGAAACCTGGGATGGGGGACAGTCCCAGGACCCAAGGTGGATGACCTTAGCTGAAATGTGCAACAGTTGGGAGATGGAACTTCAAGAGACTACCTCCAATCATCAAAAATGACCCTTCTGGAGGGATGTTGTCATCAACTCACCTACCAAACTTTGCATAGCAAATTGCTCCTGTCTAAAATCAATGCAGGGAGAAAAATGGAGCAGAGAATGAAGAAATGGTAGACCAATGAGAGGTCTAACTTGGGACCCATCCCATGGACAGACACTAAGCCCTGACACTATTACTGATGCTATGTTAAGCTTGTGGAGAGGATTCTAGCATGCCTGTTCTCTAAGAAGCTCTACTAGCAGCTGACTTAGACAGATACTGATATTCACAGCCAAGCATTGGATGGGAGATAGAGGTTGGGAACCCCTATGGAAGAGTTACTGAATGGTTTGAAGGAAATGAAGGGGATGACAATCTCATAGGAAAATCAACAGTTTCTATTCTCTTGCACTCCTGGGAACTCCATAGACTGAGCCCCCAAGCAAAGAGCATACATGGGCTGGTCTGAGGCCTCCAGCACTTATTTAGCAGATGACTACCTTGTTTGGCCTTACTGGGAGAAGATGCACCTAATCCTGTAGACTCCAGGGTGGAAGAATATCTAGGGGTACACCTTCTCAGAGACACAGGAAGATGGGGAGAGGAAGTAATATTTGGGATGTAAATAAATATAATAATTAAGTAAATTTAAAAAGTGAAAACAAATTAACATTGCAAAATATTTCCAAATTATAATAATACCTCACATGCTTGGCTGTGCTCAAACCTAACATAATTCCCAGTTTTGTGTCTGAAATCCTGTTGCAAGATGAGACGTATCCCCATACCCCCATCCCTGCAGTGCAGATAGGGCAGAAGCTTTTGATGCAGAAGAGTTTAGATATGAATATAACAGCTGATGGCCTTCCCCAGGAAACTCTACATTATTTATATCCCAGTTGTGATGGTTTGAATGAGAATTATCCCTGTGTTTAAATAATTGGTCACAGTTGGTGGAACTGTATGGAAAGAATTAGAAAGCATGTCATAAGGAGTAAGGTTGAGTTTTGAAAAGATTACTGTCATACCTAGCATGTTTTCTTCCTCCTGTCTGAGGTTCTGATATGTGAGCACTCTTTCGTTCCAGCTGCTCTTCTTTTGAATCACCATAATGGACTTTAAGCCTCTGAAACTATAAGCCAAATTAAAATTTCCATTTTATAAGTTGCTTTTATCATGTTTTATAACAGCAATATAAAAGTAACCAACATATCAATAAAACCCTATAACTTGCCATGCTCAATAATACTACCTCCTCTTTACACACATGCTTATCAAAGTGCTAATTTGATTTGTTCTCTTAAGTATATCAGGAAGTGCTGGGCGGTGGTGATGCATGCCTTTAATCCCAGCACTTGGGATTTCTGAGTTCGAGAGTTCGAAGCTAGCCTTGTCTGCAGAGTGAGTTTCAGGACAGCCAGGGCTACACAGAGAAACTCTGTCTCGAAAAAACAAAAAAAAAAAATCAGGAAGTGATTGCATTTCCTGGATCCAGACTTATGGAGTTCTAAGCATTCCATTTGACTATACTTCAAATTACTTTATCAATATGTCAATAACTGATGGCCAAACAGGGTCATTTCAAGAGAAGAATGGGCTCCATTTCTATCACTGATCATCTCTCTGAAACATCCTCCTGATGTTACTGGGTATCTCCAGGTGAGATGTGGGAAGGATAGGCCAGAAGACAGGTACATTTGGCTATGATGCTTGGGAAATGGGGAAATATTCATTTCAATCTGTCTCTGATTGGTATGTCACCAAGACCTAAATATAGATATCTAGAGGTGCCAAAGTGGATCAACAGGAG